ACTGGTGGTTTAACTTCCTAGAGATGCCAAACTCCTGTCCTAGTTCACTGGCCTTTACCCAGACGCGTTCCCCTACCTGAAATGTGGACTTTCGCCTATGCTTTTTCTCAGAGGCAATCATTGCCTCTTGAGACTTCTGATATGCTCGACAGCCTGCTGCAACAGTTTCTCAAACTGGATACCAAATTCAATGGTTCCAGGAGTTGCAGTCGGTCGATTCTCAGGTAGAAGGAAGTCTAGAGCAGATCTAGGCTTCCACCCCAAATGCAGCTGGTTGGGACTGACGCCGGTGGTGCTTTGTACAACGTTATTGTACAGACTGACGATGAGAGGAAGTTTGTCATCCCAGTCATCTTGGCTGGGCTTTATGTAATGCCTGAGCAGATGATGCACCACACGGTTCATATGTTCCGCTTGACAATTTGCTTCGGGATGATTCCCCAAAGTCATTTGGAGTTTACTACTCATTTGTTCAACAACCTTTTTCCACATTTCACTTGTGAATCTCAGATCTCTGTCACTGACAATGGTTTTGGGAAGTCCAAAGTCACGCACCGAGTTATCCATTAATAACTTGATGACGTGCTTTGTTTTCACTATTTCCGGCATAAGAATTAGTCTATCGTATTTAGTAAACCTATCAACTATGACAAATATGTGCCTTTTGCCACTCTTGCTGGTCACGAGGGTATCCATGAAGTCCATTGAGACACTCTGTCCCGGACCAGCAGGAATGGGCAACGACTCACGTGCCCTGTACACAATGCACAATACCTGAACAAAGGAGAAGGGAACTCAGTCGCATGGCAGAGGTAGGAATGGGTGGGAAGGCGGCAGGTACAACTCTCAGAGTAAACTCCAAGGGGGCACCCACACAACCAGGTAAAGGTCATCAGGCTCAGAAGGAGGGTAACAACACGACACTGGGCTCAATGGAAACCATCAAATGGGTACCGCCAACTGAAAGGGGAAGGGCACTCACACAAGGGAGCACACATAAGGTGAGCCTGGAAGGAAAGAGAGGGCCATGCCGGCATAGACATGTGGCCAAAAGCCGCGAGCAAAGAAAACGTACTCCAGAGGAGGGCGCGCAACATAAGGTAAGGCAGAAGGGCGGCAAGCGGACACACCCACATAGACAAGGAAAATAGGGGTCATCATGCGACTGGAGGGTAACTCGAGGGTAAGGCTACATGAGAATGATGGGACTCCGTAGCCGAAAAAGTGAAGTAGTCCAACTGATGAGTCTCCAAACTGAAGTCGAGTCGAAGTAGCCAGGATGAAGTAGGAGTAATGCGTAAACTGAGTAGAAGTCCGGAACAATGCGAGATGTACTCTGGTACTGAAGAGAAGCACTGTGGTCGGAAGTCGATGTAGAAGCCGAATGTAGAAGCCGAATGTAGAAGCCGAATGTAGAATCCGAATGTAGAAGCCGAGTGTAGAAACCGAGATCGGGAGCTGCTGCATAAGTGTCCAAGAATGGTAAAAGATAAAGGGCGTATAGGGCGTAAGATCAGTTACGATATCGAGAAGGAAGTCGATGGGTACGCTGAGGGCGAGAGGACTCAACTGCAACAACAGGCGGAACCACATCCACAGGGGAAGAAGGACTTGAGGCAGGTATCGGTGGAGCAGGAGGACCCATCGATGGAGGAGGGGGGATGTTAGTGGTCGCTGAAGTAGATGGGTCAGTAGAAGGACGAGAAGTAGGAGGGGATGATGATGAAGGGAAAGGATGAGCATGATCGTAAGCACGCACGGAAGTCATGGCATGCTTCAGGTGCTCAAGAGGCTCTCAATTAGACTCCTCGTCAGGGTAACCCTTCCATCGAACGAGATACTCGAGGCGGGGAGGGTCACCATCAGTCATACGCCGGGACGCGATATCAGAGACGACAAACTCCTCGTGACCCTCAATGATGATGGGAGAGGGGCGAGGGTAAGGTCGACCGTGGAACTCGGGAGGAGACCGTCTGAAGGGGCGCAAAAGAGATACATGGAACACGTCATGTAAGTTAGTGCGGTACATGGAATCGGGGAGCTTCAATTTGAAGCTCACCGGACAAGTCATGATTGGGTCCGGCGGGTGCAAGAATGGTGCATGGTCCAGTATATCGACGTCTGAATTTTCGAAGTGTGTCAGCTTCGGGCTGGAAGTGACGTGCGTCGACAAGAACCTCGTCGCCAACTTTGAAGGGATGGTTGATGCGAGAGCGGTTAGCGCGAGTGGCCATGCGAGTCTGAGAGTCAGCAATGCTCTCGCGAACCTTGCTAAGAAGCGCATCCATCTCCTTTACCCAGTCATCGAGGGCAGGGCATTTGGTGTCGGGATGGATCTGAGATGGACGGAGAAGGTCAGATGGGACACGAGGATGGTATCCCAAGTCACAGTAGTAGGGAGACATGCCAGTGGCCGGTGAAATAGCATGGTTATAAGCAATCTCTGCGTGAGCAAGATGCAGATCCCAATCAGAGTCACTCTCAACAAACTTCTTGAGGATACTCCCAAGAGTTTTGTTGGTGACCTCGGTCTGTCCATCTGACTGGGGGTGATAGGAGGAGGAGAGGCGGAGCTCGGAGCCATAGATCTCATGGAGTCCAYGCCAGAAMWGAGAAGTAAAGCGGGGATCGCGATCAGAGACGATGCTAGTGGGAAGACCGTGATGAATGGCAATACGGTTGAAGTATAAGGAGGCGATGTCTTTGGCTGAACTAGCATACTTGCAAGGGAGGAAATTAGCATGCTTAGTCAACCGACTGACAACAACGAAGATGGCATCGTGGCCTCGTGGGGTAGGGGGACGAAGAGGGCCGATGAAGTCCATGGAGACGGAAGTCCAACGCTGAGTTGGAATGGGTAAGGGCTGAAGAAGACCGTAGGGGGGTTGGTTGGGGATGTTGGCCTCTTGGCAGATTCTGCAGGTGCGGACGTACTCCTTAGTGAAGGGACGACGGTGCTCCCAGACATCGAGATGACCGGCGGCGCGTTGGTCGTGACACTCAGCGACAGCCCGAACGCGGAGCTGGCCAGTAGAGGGTACACATAAGCGAGGAGTACGGGTACCTTGGCGACCAAGCCAGTATAGGAGTCCAAAGGGATCGAGCTGGAAGTAAGGGACGAACTTGGCAGCCTGTAGGTCAGCGTAGATGGACTGAAACTCAGGGCACTGGGTGTATGCACAACGGTACTCATCCAGGAAGGCGGGGTGATTGGTGGGAAATGAAATAGCAGAGAGCCGACGGTCCTCGCACTGAAGGTCGGGGTGGCGGGATAAAGCATCTGCGACACGATTGCTTTCCCCATAAATCTTCTTGATGGTGAAGTCAAACTCTGAGAGGTCACGCCACCAACGAGCCTGGCGAGAAGTGAGCTTAGGCTTCGTCTGGAAGGCGGCGAGGACAGAGTTGTCCGTCAGAACGGTGAAAGTGTGATCGTGCAAGTGATGACGCCACTTCTTAACAACGTAGACCAGCTCGAGGACCTCACGCTCGTCGGCGGTGTAGTTACGCTCAGCGGGAAGTAGCTGTCGAGAGAGATAAGCATCCAGACACTGTCCATCGCGAGACTCGACTGTACCGTCATCAGCGACGTCAGGGATGTAGGGGGGTGGATCCCCTGAGGGGTGGGGCTCGATAGGTGCAAGATGAGCCGCAGTCGCTGGGGGTGGAGGGGGGAAGCGAGGGATGCGAGGGAGGCGAGACTCTGTGGAATCAGGAGAAGTAGAAGGGGCTGGGTAAATCTGGGAGAGAACAACTCCAATAGCGAAGTCAGACGCGTCGGTGGTAACAATGAATGGACGCGAGTAGTCGGGTAAGTGTAAGACAGGGGCTGAAGTGACAAGTCGCTTGAGAGAGCGAAAGGCATCCTCGTGAGCCGGGGTCCAATGAAAAGGTAGACGTCTATGGGTCAGAGGGGTAAGCTGGGAAGAATATTGCGCATAGTTTTTGAGGAAATGGCCATAGTAGTTGGTCAAACCAAGAAAACTACGCAGGGCGGGGAGAGATGTAGGCGTAGGCCAATCGACGATGGCCTGAATCTTCGAGTCGTCCATGTGGAGGCTGTGCTCAGATACCTGGTGCTCGAGGAAATCGAACCGTGGTCGCGTAGTCGCTGCAGGACAGTGCGAAGATGGGTCAGGTGATCCTCTAGGGTACGACTGTAGATCACGATGTCGTCAATGTAGACTAGAACATAGTCCTCAAGAAGGTCTTGGAACATCGTGTTCATAGCCGTCTGGAAAGTAGCGGGGGGATTACGGAGACCGAAAGGCATGACAGTAAACTCGTAGTGCCCGAAACGAGAACAAAAAGCGGTCTTAGGCTGGTCCTCCTCGGCTACGCGGATCTGGTGGTACCCGCTACGAAGATCGATCTTCGTGAAGAAATGGTGGCCAGTGAGGCGGTCAAACAGATCATCCACACGGGGCATGGGATAACTGTTTTTAACTGTGTAATGGTTGAGACCGCGGTAGTCGATACAGAGGCGAAGGGTGCCGTCCTTCTTGCGATTGAAGAGGACAGGGGCACTCCATGGGGAAGTACTCGGTTTAATGAAGCCCTGGCGAAGTAGCTCCTCAAGTTGGCGCTTGAGTTCCTGGGCTTCGGGGACCGAGAGGCGATAGGGGGCGCGATTCTGAATGCGATAGTTGGGCTCGAGCTGGATGTGGTGCTGGATATCGCGCATGGGAGGTATACTGCGGTAGGTGACGGATGGTGGGAAAACATCACGATACTCACGAAGAAGGGCACCGACGCTAGGCGGCAAGGAAGAAAGAAGGGTGTCAAATTCCTTGGCAGCGGCGGCGTCTGAAGCAGAGGTGGAGGGGGTCTGTGTGGAGGTAGGGACTGAGGGTGTATCAGTGGTAAGGGAAGCGAGAAAGTGAGATAGGCTAGCATGGGTAGAGGAGGGTAAGGAAGCCAAAGGATCAGGAGGGTCGGGGGGGTCGGGAGGTGGTGGATCGAGCTCGACCAACTCAACGTCCTGGTGCATGGAATTGCAGGTAAGGAGGTCTGTGATATCGACAACATAAAGTTCTACGTCAGGCTGACGAAGCAAGTGGGGGAACTGGGTAGGTGTACACATGGTGACATTAACAGGGGGGTGGGGTGTAGAGTCCGATTTGCCCAACAACGGAATACGGTATTGCTTCCCATCCTTGGCGTCGAGGACGAGATCATTTGGGGTCCAACCGGGGCCGGCATGGGCGAACTGATGCGAGTAGGGAGTGCCATGAACAAGATCGTATAGGGTTTCCATGACATCGAAGGTCCACTTGTCATGGAATCGAGGGGCCTTGCGAAGGCTATGTGGCATCCGCAAGGGGAAGGAGAATGGGAGATCAGGCACCACAGACGAAGGATTTGGCCTGATTGAGGCCAAGCGTGACAGTGACAGTGGAAGGGTAGGGGGATGTATAGAGGGATGCCTCCTTAACTACGCGAGGATGAATGAAGTCGCCAGTAGAGCCAGAGTCCCATAGTGCGCGGTATACTCTAGTAGAGGGCCCGAGGCGCATTGGAATAATCGGTAAGGTGCGATCGGGATTGTGTAGGCGCTGAGACATCGCGGACAGGGTGTGCTCTTTAAGGCGGATACGTTCGTGACGGACCTTAACACACTCACGGTCCAGGAAGTCGATGATATCCTCGGCTGCAATAAGGGAAGCACTACAGCGCACCGTGCGAAGAGCACGCCTAGTAGTAGTAGTAGTAGTAGGAGGAGGATCATGAGAGACGCTAGGCGAAGAAGTGGAGGCAGTGGAGGGTGGGCCAGCGACGCTAGAACCGACCAACGATAAAGTCAGGTCCGAGTCCTTAGAAAGAGTAGCAAGCGGCGCGAAGGTAGAATCGCGGGCGGGTATGCCTGTGACTGTGGGAGGATCAGGGGAGCGGGAGATCGCCGCTAGGTGGCTGCGGAGCTGGAGGTCGAGGCGGGCGGGTCAGGCTGAGGGCGGGACTGCTAAGCAAAGTGATGCTGGAGGGCGTCGGCGTAGGGGCAGGTGGACGGAGTGTGACCAGGTAGGCGACATCGGGTACATATACCTCGTGCACGGAAGTCCTCACTCTCCACGATAGTCAATCGGGCGTGGGGGAAGACGTAGCCCGATGGGAGGGGCAGCTGTGTGGCGGAAGAACGGGTCCTCGATGAGGAGGACTGGCGCTGCCTGAGGAAAGCAGAGAAGGCGCGGACGAGGTGCTCGTCCTGGTCGGGGTCGTCGCCATCCACAAGGGACTGGGGGTCATGTTCCTGGTCCGGGTCGCTATGGGATCCGTCTAAACCAGTACCCTCCTCAGCGCTCGACGACTCGCGGAGCATAGTCTGGACACGGCGGAAGACGGCACGTCCAGGAACTCGGCGGGGACCGCGGCGAGACGTGGAGAACTGGCGGGGGCGAGATGTGCCAGGGGCAGACGATGAAGCGGGAGGTGCGGCACCAGGCCCAGATGTGGAGCCCACAAGAGGTGCATATGTGAGCTGGATGGCCCTGGCAATGTTGAAGACCTCGGGGAGGGTATGGACCGTGTATGCCAGCATCTGAAGCTGGAAGGGTTGGGATAACCCGACACGGAAACGCTGGACCAAAGCGTCGTCGGCTATGAGGGAGGGGGAAATCTGGCCGCGAACGCAGTGGAATACCGTGATGTACGACTCTAAGGCATTGTTGCCACCAAGCCATCTGATCTCAGCGATCCGTGTGATCGGGTCATGGGTAGGCGTCGAGCGAGAGAAGTATTGCTGGAGAAAATCAGGAAACTCCGCGTACGTCATACTCGCGTGTACACCCTGCTGAGCACGAAGGGCAAGAAAGTCGCGCCAAGTGGAAGCCACTCGACCTATGAAGCGGGCAGACATCTTCGTAGGCCACAAGTCCATGTTTACCCCATGGTACCGAAGTTGCTCCTCGGCTGTGGTGATCCAGCCCTGAGTTCAGAGGCCTTGCCATCGAACTGGGGGACTTTGTCGGGGTGGTACCGAGGTACATAAGGCGGGGGCTGGTAATGAGGAGGGAGGGGGAGGGCACACTGCGACAAGAGGACAGAAGAACTAGGGGTACCCGCAGGGGCACTAGACAAGGCAGGAAGCTGGGACAAAGGGCCGTGAGACAATGTGGTGGCCGGTGGAGGAAGGGTAAAGTGCATCGCAGCGGTCTGTGTCTGATGCTGTCGGTAGATGAAAGGGGCAGCAGGCTGTGCCGCGAGGTGGGGAGGCAAGGGTTGGCCTCCTTGGAGCCGATGGATGTGGTCGTGGGCCAGGGCGAGTTGGCTTTGGAGCTGAACATTTTGTGTCCTGGGTGTCATAGGGGGTTGGGCGTGTGGTAAAGAAGTGGAGGGTGGTGAGGTAGGTGTCGTGGATACTAAAAGTGAGGAGGTGGCTGAACACGATGCCATGGGTCCGGACAAGGGAAGTGCGGAGGTGGGGATTTGGGAGGAAGAGGTGGGTGCAGAAGTCAGGGGAGAGGACATGCCACCCTTGGACGAGACAAGTGTGTAGATGACGCCAGCCGACGAGGGGGGGGGAGCTGGCAGGGACGCTGATGAGATGGGTGGGGAACTGGACTGCGAGATCCCAAACTAGGGAGATGGGAGTTGTGATCTGCTAGGCGCATGTGTCTGGGAAGAGGAAGGGGGGGGAAGAGAGGATGGAGGTGTGGGGGTACGAGACTCCAACTGTAACATACGATCCGAGAGGGCCGTGAATTTGGCCTCGAATGTGGCCCGCATCTGTTGGAGGAGGGCCAGCACCGGGTCTGACTGGGTGGCGGGGCCCGAACTGGCGGGCGCAAGGGTGGAAATCTCCGCCGGGTCAGACATGGTGTCATGAGCTAGAAACGCAAGGCCTTCGCTGATGGAGCGGGAGGGACTCGCTAGCTCAGTACTCTGCATAGAGTCAGGGGATGAAGACAATGAAGAGGGGGGACTGGGACGAGAGGGGCGCTCAGTGGCAGCGATCGCCGCGTCAAAGCGAGCGAGTCGGTGTGCGGCGCGGGCGTCTCGGGCGCGGTTTTGGAGTACGCGCCGGTGGTTGTCACGGGGAGCCAGGTTTGCACGCAGAAAAGGGGACCGAGAAAGGAAGGCGTATAAGAATGACGTCTAGTGAACTTCCGGAATCAAATCATGAAAATTGAGGATCGCATTAAGGGGGGAAGAGTAAGATTTCCAATTCGAGCGGAAACTGAGACGAAATTTTCAAAGAATGACGTGGGGTGTAGAAGAAAGCATGCATACGACAATCATGAAGTCAGAATAAAATTCCGAAATGATTTGGACGTAAATTCAAAATTTAAAGAAAATTTAAACAAATTTCAACATTTCAAATTACTCTGCAGCGCCCCTCTCACCTCAGCGCCTGTGCGCCCGCCCGACCCGCGGCGCCCATGCAGACACTAGTGCAGCAACGCAGCAGCGTGTCCGCATTGCCTGCCAAGGCCAGACTGCCTCTCTCAGTGGCTCACACTTTGCTTTATGGAAAGTGTGTCGCTGCTGGATGTCCTGGCCAGGCGTGGGGGGGGGGGCAGTAGCTTCCGTTGGGCCCCAAGTGTCTGCGCCCAGGCCCAGTTTCCGAAACTGGACTGGGCCTCGTGCAGTTAGGCACGTCCAGGCAGACACCAAGTGTTTGCAGCATTCTCATTGGCTCGTGGCACATGTGTGACGACAATGCTACTTGCTCATTGGCCCGTAACCAGTCCGTGATGTGTCGGCCTCACACAGCGTCTGCCCAGGACGCAACCGCCTGAGCCCTGGGCTCAACTGTACAGCGCAGCCCTTTGCTGCTGGAAAGAGCCTGGAGGCTCACGTTGATCTGTAACCAACTGGCGTGCGGCAACTGAGTACTCACATATGGAAAAAATGTTGAGAACCGGCCTCACGTGGATTTTCAGGCCCGCCTTCACTTAGGGTGGGTACGAGACTTGCTGGGGGCCACAGCCCAGAACACTTGTATGTCTGATAAGGGCTCCGCGAGGCTCATTCCTCGTAGTTACCCCTTTTATAAATTAAAACTCAGCTATATTCTTCGGTCATTTTCACCTTTTCACACTTACCCGAATTCTTGATTACTGACCCTAGATTTTGAAGAATGGCCAGAAATGAAGAATCCGAGCTAGCGAGACTTGGCCCCCGCCTTCCAGAGGGGTAGGTGAAAGGGTGAACGTTCTGGACTGTTGCAGGATTTCTCTTGAAAGTGACGAGTGTCCTTTTGTCAATAGTCTGCACATTTCCCATTACGTTACTGTAGTGGGGTGCGAGGGGGGGAAGTGCTATAGAAAAAAAAAAGGAACCAGCACCATGGGCAACGGTGAGTACTGTCCTGCGGGATATTGGAACGATACAGAGAAGATAGATTAGTATGGCCCCTGCGCAAGGATGACAGGCATAAATCGAGAAATGGTCCCCCCAAAACAAAATCTCCTACCTGCGGGGGCAGGAATCCACCCCTCTGCTGGGGCCTTGCAATGCGTTGTTCATTTTGCTAGGCTGTTCTTTTCATGCTTGCCGGTAAGAAATAACTGGACTGATGGCCCCCAGAATAGATGGGGCATCTGTGTGTGCGGGTTGAAAAAAAAAGGGAACATTGTTGAAATACCACTAAAAGTTTGGGTAGTTCGTTAGATACCCCGAAAACACAGACAGCCCCCAGAATAGATGGGGCATCTATGTGCGCAGATTAAAAAAATAGGGAACATTGTTGAAATACCCTAAAAGTTTACCGGGTGCGCTGAAATGCCCCAAACTTCTGCATCTGCCCATGTCACGCTCATTAGCAACTTGGCCATATGCCCTGGCCCTGGGCTGCAGGGGGCAGTGCATTTCGTTTGCAATCTGCAGGGTCCAAAGGCCTGAAATACTGCTGCATATAGACAAGTTGCCCAGGGCCCGGTAGGGGTATATGCATAAGATGACAGGTCCAATTGGCGAGTGGGGTATTTCACAAAGGTTCGCTTGCAATGAATTGCAGTGCTATACGCGGGCTGTATACTAATTTTGTCCTTGGCGTCGTTGTCGGGACTTGATCCCGCAACCTTTGTCTGCTGTGTTGCCTGCTTGTTTGCTGTTTGTTTGTTTTGAGCCT